TCCTTCTGATCTCAAGCCTATTTCATGCAAGTTAACGGCAAGAATTTGTTGCTCTTGGTGAAATATATTGAAGAGGGGCAAATTGTCAGTTTATAGTAAAAATCAAAAGTGTAAACATTTCTGTATTTTAAATATGAACATATGAATTGGTAGTTTCCATCCTCCTGACAGGTCTCTGTGCCTGAAGATCACGAGGTGTCATGCAGGAAAAGGGACCTTGAAGCTTTACAGAATAGCCAGTGACCTTGCTCCCATTAAGTTCCTGACTCAGGATTTTAGCCTTCATTCCCAGCTCCCTGATTCATTTCACTTACACTGGCCAATGGGTAATAATAAATCAAAGCCTTGCTAGCTGCAGAGGAGAGGAGAGAATCCATTAGTTCTTGGTCAAACAGACAGGTTCATATACGTGTCTTACCTGCAAGGACTCAGTAACTCCTCTCTGTCACTTGTTTATGAACATGAGGATCTGGAGGAGAAAGGACGACTTTGGAGCCCTGGGCTCCTGACCTGACTTCTGAGCTTTCTGCATCTCAGGCACTGAGATCACGAGTCTCCAAAACAAGATCCTTCCTCAGGGCTCTTTCACACAGTGTGGACGTTGGTTTGCTGGTTTGTTTTTATATCTCCAACAGATTTATTTTTATTTTTCTATTTTTAAAAAATTTTTATTCTGGGGATTGAGCCACATTGCAGGCCTTTATTATTTTATATTTTGTGATAGGGCCTGGCTAAGTGCTGAGGCTGGCTCTGAACTTGTAATCCTCTTTCTTCAGCCTCCAGAGTTGCTGGAATTCCTTAAGTCCAGTTAAGTGGATTTAGTTTGCTTATTTTATCCCTGTTTCTTGGCTACGCAGCTGCTGAGCCTGATTCACAAACAGGAGGGAGGTCCACAACACAGGAACCCTGTTCTTTTCTGAGTCCCTGGTTGGAACCCCCACCTCGTTCTATGCAGACCAATGTCCTGGGCCCCCTTTCCTCTTCCTCTAGTCCAGGTATCCCACTGGGTAGCACTCTTGGGTATAAGGACAGATGATGAATCTAGGTTGCAGCTGGGTTTCCTAATTTGGCCATTTATCAGTGCTAGGCAGGGAGGCCACTTCACTGCCTTCCCCACGGGGCAGCACATGTAATGGCAGTGCGACATCTCCCTGCAACCAGGCTTCTCCCTTCCAGGAAAGCTAACAGCCTTAGGCTGGCAGGGAAAAGGGGCACTTTGATGATGCACCTATAACTGACCCCAGAAGTAAAACAGGACCCTGAGTATGAAGAATGGTTACTAAGCTAATGCGTACACTTTGCTCTGGAGAAAGCTAATTAGCCCTGAATTAACAAAGTAACATGAATGTAATTAACACTGATGTAACAAGCGCTCATCCCTGATATCCCTATGCACCCTTCCATCAACAACAGTAACACCCATCTAATGACCAGCTGTAAGGTAGGTCTGGGAATGTGAAATCAACTAATGGGGACATCACAATGCCACAGGACAGTAAGGACTCTGTGACCACAGTAACTCTCAGTTCTAAACAAATTGGGGTTGTCCTGCAGGCAGGCAGCACCTTGAGCAAACCGGACTCCAGTGTCTCCGTTTCCCCCTTATTGAAAACTTGCTCTCTTGTGGGTGCTGAGTGCCCTTTCTCCACTCTGGAAGTCAGATCTTCCAGAAGATGCTTGGCCATTCTTCCCAGGAGACTCTATTTTCCTGATACTGCTGGAATTTCACTTGTACCTCACTGAGCAGGACTTTGTTCTTTTTGCCTAGCTAATGATGGGTATATATTCTCTGTCTCCAGGTGATCCTTTCACTCTAACAGGAACTAGAAATAAAATATTGACTTGAAGGAAGTAAAATCTCCTTGTCAAATCCAGTTAAATCTATCTTTAAAAATTAACATTAGCTGGGCGCAGTGGCACGTGCCTGTAATCCCAGCAGTTTGGGAGGCTGAGGCAGGAGAACCCTGAGTTCAAAGCCAGCCACAGCAACTTAGCAAGGTCCTAAGCAACATAGCAAGACCCTGTCTCAAAATAAAATATAATGGGATCCTAATTGAAATAAATTATACTCCATATATGTATAATGTAAAATGCACCCTACTGTCATATATAGCTAACAAGAACAAATAAAAAATAAATAAAATATAAAAAGGTTTGGAGATATGGCTCAGTAGTGAACTCCCCCTGGGTTCAATACCCAGTACCCGCCTCCCCCCCAAAAGTTATTAACATTGATAGGACAAGGGAATACTGTGAATAATTCTGCACATGTAATAACTTTTTTCTGTTTATGTTATAATTTAATTGTTTTATTTATTCCATAGTTTTACAGGTGCATTCTATTTGTACATAGGATTTGTTGTTACATATTTGTACATACACACAATAAAATTTGGCCAGTTCCACTCCCCAGCACTTCCCCTTCCTCCTTACCTACCACCCTCTCTCCCTTTCTGAGATTCACCACCGCCCTTCTTTTCTTTTTTCCTCTCTAGCTTCCACATGAAAGAGAACACAGGGCCTGTGATCTTCTGAGTTTGGTTTATTTTGCTTAACCTAATGGTCTCAAGTTCCTTCCATTTTCCTGAAAATGCCATATTCATTTCCCCCCCAAAGCAGGGCTGTGTATTCCACACAAAGGCAGGCAGTGAGGGGGTGATGGAGAACAAGGGAGGCAGACAGGGTGGAATGTGAGCAGACTGGGGCAAGAGCAAGGCAAATGCCTAAGGCACCTTGCCTGAAGTCCCCTAGAGGGCAAGGTCATGAAAAGGTGGGGAAAGGGGGACACGAAACTGAAGCTGGGGTCTGTGGGCAGTACACGCAGAAACGGACACCCTAGCCTCTTCCAAGCTGAAGGCAGGGGGTGGAGCAGGGCCCGAGGCCAGCAGGGTTGGGAGAAGCAGTGTGAAACCCAAAGCCTGGGACTAGTGGGTGCTAGAAGTTAGCCACACAAAGTTCTGCGGCTCCAGCAGGTTTTTCCTCAAGGGCAGGCAGGAGGGAGGTTGGAGGCCCAAAGCCAGTGGCTCCCATCTTGGTAACTTCCCCACTAAGGAAACCGTCAGGCCATGGGCGGACGCAGGACTGCAGTGTGAGTTCACTGGCTTCAGTGTAGGAAGGGAGGCCTGGAACCTGAGAACTACCAAGTTATCACAGCAAGTTCTTAAGAGGTACCATGTCCCTGACTTGAAATACCCCATATTCTCACTCTCACTCACCTCTGGGACCTACTGGAGGAGGGCAGGCCTCCGGAATTCCAGGAGGGGACCCACCTTCAGGGACGGGCATGACGCTAAGGATCTTGAGGTGAAGGCTAGGAACAGGTGTCCCAGGGACGTCCATGCTCAGACTGCAGGGTAGCGGGGCAGGGCGGAGTGAAGGTAATCTCATACCTGTGCAGGATCTTCAGGAAGCCAACCTTGACCAGAAAGCTGCTGTCCCCCTTCTGGGTGACCCCAGTCACTGAGTCATGTAGCGTCTCATGAAAGTGGACATGGCTCTGGGAGCCTTTGGCATCATGGCCTGCTGCAAGGTGGATACTCCAGACTCTGGGCTGACTGCCCTTGTTGGCTGCAGCTATCAAGGTGAAACACACAGCTCCAGCTCAGCAGAGTCCCACGCTCCAGGGACACAAGCAGGAACCTTGCAGGCTCACCTCTGGGATGGGCCAGGCAGGACGACCGTGGTGGTGGCTGCAGCTGGGGATCAATGCTGAACACGAGGAAGAGAGCCCAGTGCCCACCCTCCTGGCTTACAGCACACCCCCGCCTCCACCTCTCATTTTTCTTGAAGGCTGAATAAATCTCCATTGTGTACGTATACCACATTTTGTTTATTCATTCGTTGATGGACCTAGGCTGGTTACTGTGAGTTGTGCTGCTATAACCATGGGTATACATGTATCACTGTAAAGTAATTCTTCAGGATAAAAACCAAGGGAAGTTATAGAGGAGTCATGGTGGTTCCATGCCTAGTGTTTTGAGAAACCTCTGTATTGATTTCCATAGTGGTTGTAGTAATTTACAATCTCACCAACAATGTAAAAGTGTTCCTTTTCCCCACATTCTTTCCATCACTTATGATTATTTGCATTCTTGTTGATTGCCATTCCGACTGGTGTGAGATGAAATCTCAGTGTAGTTTTGATTTCCATTTTACTAATTGCTAGAGATGTTAAACATTTTTTTTTTCATATATTTGGTGGTCATTTTTATCTCTTTTGAGAAGTTTTTAGTTAATTTGCCCACTTATTGGGTTGATTTTTGGGGTTAAGTTTTTATTACTAGTGATTATAACCTTGGGGCGCTTTATCAGGGAGCTACACCCCCAGGCCTTTTTAACCTTTGAAACAAGGTCTCATTTGTTAAGTCTTCCTAAATTGCTGAGGCTGACCTAGAACTTGCCATCCCCCTGTCTTAACCTCCCAAGTCATTGGATTACAGGCATGAGCCACCTTGCCCAGCTGGTGTTAAGTATTTCGAGTTCTTTATATATTCTGGATATTAATCCTCTGTCAAAAAAGCAAAGATTTTCTCCCATTCTGTGGGCTCTCGCATCACATTCCTACTTGGTTACTTTGCTAGCACACATAAATTGGACAACTAAGATGATATGGACCAGTTCTTTAAAAAGCACCAACTACCAAATCTCACCCAATATGAAATAGATAATTTGAATAGTCCTGTAATTATTTTTAAAAATTGAAAAAAGAAATCCTCTGATTTCACAGAATTTGTCAAAATGCTCCAAGCCGAATTAATTTCAATTTTCCAGTCTTTTCCAGAAAACAGAACACAAAGAAGTATTTCCCAGCTCGTTTTATGACGTATGTATTAACCCGATTCCCAACCAGGGGACACCCAGTACCGCATTCTAGCACCAACCAGCGAAGCTCACACACTCGAGCTCGGGACCCACTTCCGGGACGCTCTAGTTGTCCTGCGGCTTCTCAGTGGTTCTTCCGGTTTCCGCCTCTCTATTTTTGGTGTTCCCGCCTCTTTCCTTCCGCCTCCGGGATATGATGAGATCTCGCGAGAACTGGGCCTCTTTCTAAGCCGGCTCTCTTCAAGGTAGGTGGTACGGGGCCTAAGCTCTGCCGCGCTTTTCGGCTGGCTTCGGGGAAAAGGCCCCATGGGGTCTGTCGGGACTGTGGGCCCTTCGCCTCGGCGGTGGGATGCAGTGGATTACCCGGCCCGCGCCCGCCGATGGCCCTGGCAGGCCGGGCGGGCGGCGGCCGACCCGTTGACCGCGCGTGCTCCCCCAGGATCACGCCATGTTCAGCTCGAGCGCCAAGATCGTGAAGCCCAATGGCGAGAAGCCGGACGAGTTCGAGTCGGGCATCTCGCAGGTGAGTGGCCGCGCGGGCGGGACCCGGCGGGCGGGCGGGCGGGCGCGCGGGGCGGGCGCCCACGCTGTGTCTGCCCGCAGGCTTTGCTGGAGCTGGAGATGAACTCGGACCTCAAGGCCCAGCTGCGGGAGCTGAACATCACGGCGGCCAAGGTGAGCGGGGCCGGGCGGGCCGCCGGGTTCCGCGAAACTGCGCCCAGTCGCACCCGCGGTGCGTGGGGAGGTTCGGCGTGGTGCCCAGGACCGCCGGCCGTCGGTGTTGGAGTCAGTGCCTGCGCCGCCTGGCCTCGGGGAGAGGAGACCGGGCCTGCGTGCAGGGTCGTCGTTAGGTTCACGAGCTAAAAGCTGGGCGTGCCAGGTGTGCCCGGCGTGGGGAGGCCGAGCCGAGGTAGGTGCTGGGGAAGGCTCGTCTGACTCCGCTCTGGAGGGGCTCTGTCTGGCATCACATGGCAAAGGACAGGCCGGGCCCTCACAGAGCCACCTGCAGTGGACTTGAAGGCCCTGTGGGTGAGCCGTGTTCACGGTGGGCTTAGGTCGCAACTCATGGACCTGCGCACACACTCAAGCCAGGTCCAAACCATAGCAAAGTGATGTTTAGAAGGGATAAAGGCATCTCTCAGTGAGACAGGGGGTCTGGTCTGTGACAGCTTGTTGACCTTTTTTTTTAAGGAAATTGAAGTTGGTGGTGGTCGGAAAGCTATCATCATATTTGTGCCAGTTCCTCAGCTGAAATCTTTTCAGAAAATCCAAGTCCGGCTTGTGCGTGAATTGGAGAAGAAGTTCAGTGGGAAGCATGTGGTTTTTATTGCTCAGGTATCTGTTACTGTGAAAGGTTCTTTTTCCTGAGTTTGACCAAGTACTTTGGTTTAAGCTGTGTTGGTAATCACAGTGCAGACAGCAACCCTGTTAAGAGTACAAGCACGCTGGGTAGGGTGCCGGGAAGTTGTGGTCATGTTGAGTTAAGTGATTGAATACGTTCTCTTGAGGAGTCAGAAGGGCTTTCCATGATACAGTGCCATTAGTGTCTAGTGGGCTGCTCACAGGGCAGCCAGACCAGACGAGGGCCTGGGAGGTTGTGCTGATCCTCTGCTGAATCTGACATGGGCTCTGAGATTGAAAGATGCCCCTGGATACCTTGTAGAGAAGGGAGCAAATGAGTGTTTTAACTTCACATCTGGCTTTGGTGCAAACTAGTCTGTGGGGAATAAAGGGCCAAGACTGATTGGGAATATAAGAAGTAGTACTTTGGGACTGGGGTTGGGGCTCAGTGGCAGAGTACTTGCCTCACATGTGTGAGGCACTGGGTTGATTCTTAGCACCACATATAAATAGTAAAACTAAGGTCTATCAACAATTAAAAAATATTATAAAAAGTAGTAGTACTCCGGGTCTATCAACCATCTTCTGCCTGTGTTGCATAGTGGGCTTTGTTGAATATGGGGAGATGTCAGAAATATGGGAGTTTTACTTAGGTAAAATAAGCTGTGGATTCTGAATTATTGAAAATTCTGGAAGTAATTTTATAGAAAGGGGTTCCTCAGTTGTTTGGTCTAGGTTTTTCCTAAACTTTTGACTTTTTTTCTTTATTTTTTTTTTAAAGAGAGGGAGAGAGAGAGAATTTTAATATTTTTTATTTTTTAGTTATCGGCGGACACAACATCTTTGTATATGTTGCTGAGGATCGAACCCGGGCCGCACGCATGCCAGGCGAGCACGCTACCGCTTGAGCCACATCCCCAGCCCCGACTTTTTTTCTTTTAAAACCAACAGTTAGGTCAGGGTTGTGGCTCAGTGGTAGAGCACTTGCCTAGCATGCATGAGGCACTGGGTTAGATCCCGGGCACCACATGAAAAAATAAAAACAAAGGCATTGTGTCCATCTACAACTAAAAAAAAATATTAAAAAACCCAACAATTATTAGCTTTCTGTCAACTTATGGCTCTTTTTTTTTTTCCTCATATAATTTTTACCTTACAGAGGAGAATTCTGCCTAAACCAACTCGAAAAAGCCGCACGAAAAATAAGCAGAAGCGTCCAAGAAGGTGAGTTTTTCAGCTGTGACTGAGTTGTGCTGGGCTCCTGTCTGGCGTGTGATTTGTACAAGGTATGATGTGTATTGCAGCAAGTTATCCATTAAGAATCTTGACCGAGTGACATTGGTTTCCTCTGTAGAACTGATTCCAGACCCTCAGTTCTTAGGCGTGAGGAAAGCGAGCTAGGTACAGTGGAGGTGACATAGTTGGGGATGGAGGTAGAAGTGAGGTGCCCTTCTGATGCTTCAGCTTATTTGGCATAGACTTACTTAATAGTTGACTTCCTGAACTAGGCCTTGTGTTTTTAGTGTCTCTAGTAGTTGATTTCTCAAATTTTGGATTCCAGGATCCCTGCAGACTCTTCCCTAGGGACCAATTTGAGAAAAAACTATTCTGGCTGTTTCTCTAACTGCCAGAAGTGGCGCACTTAGGAATGTATCATAGTATTGTTTTCCCTAGTTCATGGATGAGAAAACGGACCCAAGCCCAGGAGAGTTTGCTCAGTTAACTAAAAGTGCTGACAAGTTTTAAAACTCAAGTTGTTCTATGAATACCTAGAAAATAGAGATGGGAACTTTAGTATTGTGGGTGTAACAGGGATTGTCGTTACCATGGGTGTAAGAGACGGGAGAGGGGCCTGAGGATGGGAAAAGGAAGTGTCTGATTTTCTAGAACTTTGAATTTGTTTCATGGGCAGTGGGAGTGGCATAAGAATTCAGGATTTTGGGGGCCTGGTGCCTTGGTGCACACCTGTAATCCCAGGAGGCAGATATAGGTAGGAAGATCACAGGCTCGAGACTAGCTTCTTTTTTTTTTTTTTTCTTTTAACCCGCTTCTTTTTTAAAATCTTGACACTTAGAAGGTAGAAGGGGTTTGGAATCCCAGTTCTGAAAACCTGTGAGGAATTAATTGAGCGTAGGAACACAGCTAAGGGACTGTCTCCCGGATCTGCAGCCTTGATTGATGCTCTGTCCTCACAATCCTGTGATTTCCAGATGTTCTCAGCCAGGACTTGGCTCTTCCTAAGCTATTCACTAAGAATCTTGACCGAGTGACATTGGTTTCCTCTGTGGAGTTCATTCTAGATGTAGAGGTCAGGTTGATTCATGTAGGCATTTATACAGTATAATAGAGCAGTGATGTAAAAGATGAGTCTGTCCATTTTTTCAGCAAAGGATAGAATGAAAGGGAAATCCTCAGTTCTTAGCTGTTGAGGAAAGCGAGCTAGGTACAGTGGAGGTGGACGTAGTTGGGGATGGAGGCAGAAGTGAGATGGACTTCTGATCTTACTCTCCCGCTCCCTGAGATACATTTAACAGGTTGTGGTGATTATGCCACTTTTCCAGTCTGGTTACCTGCTCTCAGATTGATTTTGCTTTTCAGTAGCCCCACCCCTCATATTTTTGGCTATGTAAGGGTTCTTTCCCTCTGAACAACTTCAGTCCCATGGTTTGTGATTATTAAAGTTGCATTGCCCTTGTTTCCCTTTTTAAAAACAGAATTTGAGAGATGACTCTTAAGAATAGCTTTGTTTCTGTTTTAGTTTACATTTTTTTTTTTTAGAGAGAGAGAATTTTTATATTTATTTTTCAGTTTTCGGTGGACACAACATCTTTATTTTTATTTTATGTGGTGTTGAGGATCAAACCCAGCACCCCGCGTGCGTTACTGCTTGAGCCACATCCCCAGCCCTTAGTTTACATTTTAAAGGAAGTAATTGACTAATTTCACAGTGGTGTGTTTTCCAAGTACTATAAGAATGTTTCACTAATGAGTAGTAATGACTTTGTGAAAGTTGATGAAGACTTTGGAACGTGGATCCTGAGATCCACTAGAAAGCAGTTCCTGTGTGTGTGGGTACTGCCAGATAGGAAATACAAATGAGCACGACGTAGTGTCTGTTACCCACCCTGTGGTGACTGAGATCTAGACAAGTAGCCACAATATCAGTCTGCTTTAAATGTCAAAAATAAGAACTGTCTCTTGACTCAATCCTGGCATCTTGTGGTACATAGTAGGTACCCAAAACTTGGGAATTACAGATGGTCCCTGGCTTGATTTGACTGTAAAGTCATGCAAAAGCGATAGAAACTGTACTTGGAATTCTGAATTTGGCTCTTTTCCCAGACTAGTGATATGTGATACAGTCCTCATGATGTGGGGCAGTGGCGGTGAGCCCACAGCTCCTGGTCAGCCTCATGATCTCAAGAGGGAACAACTGGCAGTCCACAGTGGACTCTTGTTAAGCTAGGGCGCTCAGCAGTTCGGGTGTATTAAATGTGTTTTTGACTTTCTGTGTTTCCTGCTGCTGATGGGTTTACCAGGTATAATCACATTGTGAATCAAGGACTGTGCAGTTGAACCTTTTGATTGGTAGGTGAGGCAGCAGCTGGGCAGCTGGTGAGCTTGGTGGTGCTGCTCCAGTAAGGAACAGGTGTCCGTGTCATTTACATAATGGGGATGGATGGAAAATCAGGGTCCACCTGGCTGGGGCCGCCATCCCAGAACTATGAGAGAACAGCACCTTTTGGGATGGAATAGTACAGGAGTTTTGGTGACATCTTAAGAGGCCATGGAGAGCTCTTAAAGGACCTTTAGTGGGTAAATTATGTGATCATATTGGTATTTTTGAAAGATTACTTTGGACAAGGATCCACAAAGTAGTAAAGAGGTTATTTTAAAAACCGTGTGAAAATAGAGATAAGTCCTCACAATGGCTTGGTGCACATGTAGTTTACCAGGGTGTCACATTTAAAATAGAAGAGACAGAACTGTTAACTCTCTTCCATCAGAGGTTGGATTTCAGGAGTTTTGTTTTGACTGAGAGGTGTCCTCCGGGGCTTACTAGGGCACAGACATTGCTAGATTGCTTAATTTTTCTGCTTATTTTTTAAGCCGTACTCTGACAGCTGTGCATGATGCGATCCTTGAGGACTTGGTCTTCCCGAGTGAAATTGTGGGCAAGAGGATTCGTGTGAAGCTGGATGGCAGCCGGCTTATAAAAGTTCACTTGGACAAAGCACAGCAGAACAACGTGGAACACAAGGTCGGGGGCTAATCCTGGTGGAGGGGCCTGACTGCTGGGAGGAGGGTGCACCCCAGGGCCGCCTGTCTGGCTCAGGGCTGGCTGTTCCTTTGCCACCTTGACCCAAGTCCTTTGGACTCTATGTGCCAGGTTCTCAATTGGGGATGTTTTAGAAATTGGACACTTGAATTTCTCTACCTTTTTGTTAGGAAGAATGGAAGTGACCCGGGATTGGCTTTGAGGAAGGCTTGTGTTTTCACACATCGGGGTGGGTGGTGGGGGACACCCGCTGACCCCCCTGGCTTCATCCATGTGCTGCAGAGGAGGAACGGCACTGTGTCAGGATGCAGAGTCTGTCCAGGGAGGCTGGAGTCGAGCTTGTCCCTTGTCCTGGGATTCTGGAGGGATGCCCTGAGGAGTTTTCATCCCTGGTTGTCCAGGAGGAAAATCATGCCAGGCATTTTCACAGACATCAGGTTTTGGGGTCTGTGTGTGCATTTATTTAAGATTGTGATTCTTTTTTTTTTTTTTTTTTCCTTGTAGGTTGAAACCTTTTCTGGTGTCTATAAGAAGCTCACAGGCAAGGATGTTAATTTTGAATTCCCAGAGTTTCAGTTGTAAACAAAATGATTAAATAAACTGTCGTTTACAGTAGCCTGTTTTCGGGTATTCTGTATTTAAGATTGCGTAGATACGGGCTTCTGTTTTAGTGGCTTCCTGTGAAGACTAGAGAATTTGCACAGAGGGACCTACGTATGTGTCAGGATTTTCAACAATGCTGCTACTATCACTAGAAACACCTCAGAGGGGTTAAAACAAAGCAAAAATATCTCCATGAAAAGAACCTTTAAACATACGTGAGAACATAATTGCCTTTTGAAATTAGTATAAGGATTAAGTGTATTTTAAGATGGCCTTTGGGAGATTCTTCTGTTTTAAGTTAGATTATCCTGTAAGATTCCAAAAACTTGGAAATGGCTTTCCAGTCTGTCAAAGAGTTCCAGTTGGCTTTGTAACCACTTGTTAAACATTTAAAATGTTCAATGTGTTTTTTTAAATTTTTAGTTGTAGATGGACACAATACCTTTATTTATTTATGTCGTGCTGAGGATTGAACTCAATGCCCCACGCATGTGAGGCAAGCACTCTAGTACTGAGTAACAACCCCAGTCCCATAAAACGTTCAATATTTTCTAATTACTTTGCAAGAACAAAGATTACCAGAATACCAGGATAAGTGCAGAATTTTGGTTGGTCTGTAATAACAGCTGCACAATTGCAGGATGGGAAGCTCAGCCAAAGATGTGCTGCTTCGGGGCTGGGGATGTGGCTCAAGCGGTAGCGCGCTTGCCTGGCATGCGTGTGGCCCGGGTTCGATCCTCAGCACCACATACAAAGATGTTGTGTCCGCCGAGAACTAAAAAAATAAATAAATAAATAAAATTCTCTGTCCTCTCAAAAAAAAAGATGTGCTACTTCCATTTGCGTCTATCTTTGTCTTGCAAAGTGGTAGTGGAGATTTTCTGTCACAATGGTGATGGTCAGGTGCCCCTCAGCTTTCCCCTGTGTACATTGTTTTGTCACTGAGTGTTGAGCCCAGGCGTCCTCCACCACTGAGCCACACGTCCCTGACCTTTTCATTTCATGTTTTCAGACAGTCTTGATCAGGGCCTTGCTAAGTTGCTGAGGCTGATCTTGGAACTTTTGATCTCCTGCCTCAGCTCCCAAGTCTAGCTCACAGCCCTCTTATTAAAGTGAATTCTAAACTCATATTCTTCAAAGTCAAAGATGTGATAATTATTAAAATCAAGAAAGTAAACTAAGCCTGGAGCGGGGTTTACAGTTGCTGTAAAGTACTGAGGCAAGCTTTTCAAAATGAAGTCGTCTCACTGCTTCAGCTACAATTAGTGCTTTGCTATGCAGAAAGGTTTAGGGACCATTTCCAGTTTTATCCCAGAGTCTCATTATAGCTGGGGTAGTAGCCCAGTGGTAGCATGCGAGGCTCTGAATTCAATCCCCAGCACCACAAAACAGTGGAAATGTCTGAAATTTTACAACTTGTAGATGAAGGAAATCTAGTAGAAGCTTATGTTTGACCACCATTCAAAAAGTGACAGTGCAAAAAACAAATGCCAAATGTTTTCTCTGATACAAGGAGGCTGACTCATAGTGGGGTAGGGAGGGGGAGCATGGGACGAATAGATGAAATCTAGATAGGTAAGGGGAGGGAGGGAAGGGAAAGGCAGGGGATTAGCAAAGATGGTGGAATGTGATGAGCATCATTATCCAAAGTACATGTATGAAGACACGAATTGGGTGTCAACCTGATTTATATACAAACAGACATGAAAAATTGTGGTATATATGTGTAATAAGAATTGTAATGCAAAAAAAAAAAAAAAGTACAAGTATAAAGAGTAAAAAAATAAAAATAATACATGCTCGCTGTTAAAACTAAAAACAACAACAAAAAACGACAATGACGTTTTCCACGGAGGCTGTGGAGCTGGAGGAGGTAGGTGTGTGTGCTCTGGTGGGCTCCCTTTTGGTCCTGCAGTGCCTGCTGTGTTACTGGCTGCATGTTGAGATGGGGATCTAGCACGCTGAACAGTTGCCACTGCAACTTTCATTAGAAAACACACCACCAAGAAGTCTGTGAGCCAAATGGGACATGTTGGGAAGATAAGCAATGGCATTTGTGAATTTCTAATGTATGCCTTAGGAAGCTTGTTTTTCTTTTTGGCTTCAGATCTGTTTCCTTGACTAGCCTCATTTCTGGAGGTTCCTGCGAGCCTCAGAGATGACCTGGGAGGGTGAGAGGCCTGAGGACCACCCCCCAGGGAGTTCACAGTTGCCCTGTGAGTGAGGAAGCTATGCTGGGCAGTTCACCATGTCCCTTTGTGTTGTGGGTGTGCTCGCTCAGCAGTGGAGTTGGCCACGGACCAGAGGGTTAAGCGGCATTTCTTCAAGACAGGTCCACCAGCAAGCACCCTTCCCTCCCGTCGGGGTGGGTGTGTTGATTTTCAGTTCTGGCTGTGCTGCAGCAGGCGCGTGCAGGCTAGTGAGGCAGCTCAGGGCACACAGGCAAGGGGGGCAGGCACCAAGCAATTCTGGCTACAGCCACTGATCTGTGCTCCCTTGAATGCTGACAGCCATCTATGAGGCAGGTGTGGTTCTCAAAGTGTGGTCCTGGTTCTTGTGAGCTTGATAGAGAAGAAAATGCTTGGATCCCACTACTTAAGGCATGGTACCCCACAATCTGTCCTAATAAGTCTCTGGGTGATTCTGTCACTGGCTGCAGTTTGAGAAGCTCTGATGATGCCCTGACTTCCACGTGTTCAGTGGACTCTGGCCTCCACACGGTCACTGGCTTCCAAGTGATCAGCAAAGCAATCTGATTTTAAGTCAGTTAGGCTCCCTAGGAATCTGATGGTGTCCTCTAAGGCAGGGTGGCCACCCCCTCCAGGCAATCCATGACAAGCAATGTGATCCAGATTCCGGCCTTGGATAGAAGCTGGGACAGAGAGTGCTGTAACCTGCCTCAGACGCAGAGTTTTAGCTGGCTCTCATCCATTTGCTAACATTGGAGTCTTCAGTGCCTTCTCATTACTTCGCAAGAATAAAGGTCTGAAACGTGTTGGCAGCGATGTGTGTGCCCTGGGACCTGCTGGCTGCTGGGCATTGGCAGTGTGGGCTGGGAGGGAGAGGGGTGCTTAGGACAGGACCAGATGAGCAAGTCCTGCATGAGGAGGCCTCACTGCTGCCTTGCACTTCAGGGAACTCTGGAGAAACTCTGGATGAGGACCCGAGGTGGCTGCGGTTAATGTCCTTAGGGACAAAGTGCCCCAGAGATATGGGAGCATGTCTGGCGTGACCCTCTGTGAAAGTTCCCATCCAGAGACAAAGTGGTTTTCATGTGACTTATGCTCTCTGACCTCTTGGTTATCTGTGAGAAATGTAAATACTGGATGTGACCAATCTTCTCCTGGCCCCTGGAGCGGAACAGTCTGTGGGGTCAGAGCTCATGTGCAAAAGAGTGCTTCCCGTGGCGTGATGCTCTCCAGAGGCCGAGTGGAGCGGCCAGGACATGGAAGTGGCGGGTGCCCCTTGGTGACTTCCTGGTACTAGTGTGCATACAGTGTGAACATGGTTTATCATCTTAAGTGGTCTGATTTACAACCTATGCAAAATAGGCAAATGGAATCACCACTTTTATTTTTGTAACAGGGTATTTCTCAGGTTGTTGGCATGTTTTGAAAGCCCTTTACCTTGCGGGACAATGTGAACAGACAGCTCTACAGCAGCTGTACAGGAGGGGTCCAGGAAGGAGGGACATGGAGGCTGGCTCGCCAGCAGTGGCCTGCCCATTTCTGCTAACTGGTCTTGGGCGAGGTCTCTGACTCCTGACCTCTAACATGGGGCTGGTGATGAGACTTGGTTCAGTGGTTGCAAGTGGTCTTAACCAGCACCTGGCGGCGGAGCCTGGCAGGTCCTGCTGTCCTCACCGTTGGTGTTCTGAGGGAGCAGAGGGGATGCTGCCTGGTGTTGAGGTGTGAATGTGTCCAGCCCTTGGGTCATTGCACACTGTGGCCCTGAGACGTCCACAAGACTTTGTTCCTGCATTCACTGCTTTTAAATGCAACTTAAGTGGCAATTTGGGTCTCACTGCTGGCCAGGTCTCCATGGCAGTGGTGAGTGCCTCCTGAGTTTTGCAGTGAAGTCCCACGTGGGAAACAGGACAGGAGAGGCTGAGCTGCAATTACTTCTGGCTGATGTGCTGCTAGGTGCTGGTCTCCACTCTTTCTTCTTCACACTTAGGAACTTTTCCACAGTGTCTCATTAACAGCCACAAAGCAAAAAGAGGCTTGGCGCCTGGGCCACGCTCGCAATCCATGCTCACAATCCCTGCAGCTCGGGAGGTTGAGGCAGGGGGATGCGAGTTCCAGACCAGTCTAGGCAACTTAGCAAGGTCCTGTCTCAAAGTAAAAAGGGCAGGGAATGTGGCTCAGTGGTAAAGCACCCTGGATTCAGTCCCAAGCACCACAAAACAAAAACAAAACAAACCAATAACAAAGAAAAAAGAAAACACAAAAGAATTCCACAAGAGGCAGGAGGGTGTTGGAGGCTGGGGCCATCTCCAGGCCCCGTGGTGCCGGCATTCCCACACTCAGGCACCATCCTGCAGCAGCGGATGGTCTCAGACAGGAAGCTTTTGCAGATAAGGCTGCAGCCATCCAGCTGGACTGCTGGGTCGTCCGGCAGCCAGGCAGGGTCCCCTCCGAGTGTTGGACTGGGGCCGGCCCTTGTAAAGAGCAGCCATGAGGCTTTGCGGCACAGTGTCCTCGCAGGCCAGCAGTGCTCAGGACAGCCCCCTCGCCTAGTGTGCCCAGGTAGGAGACACTGCCGACGGCTGGGGGGTTACTTGGGCACTGAGACACGGATGTGGGGACAAGGTTCCATGTGGGGCTGGAGGTGGAGTTGGGCTGTGAGGAAGGTGGGATCTGGATTCAGGCAGAGACTGGGTTCAGTCATTCCTGGTAGGAACTTCATGGAGACTTTGATGACAGGAGTCAAGTCCTGGGGGTCACCAGATGGGGTCACTAGTTATGTAAAACTCAACCTGCAGCCGGGGAGCCTGGTGCCTTCTCTTTTCAAACCACCGGGTCGTAACTGGCCACAGACCTCATCTGCCATCGTGAGCAGCGTTGAGTGCAGTGGCCCTCCCTGGGGACCTGCTGTCTGCCTCACCCTCGGTAGTAAGGCAGAGCTGGGACTGGAGGAGGCCACAGTCGGGGGGGACAGTCCTTCCCCTTGGGTCATCTCCTACCAGCAGGAGTCCTCTTGTCTCTGGAATCTGGAAAAGAGCTCCAGAGGGTGGCCCTGCCTGCTGCCTGACACCAGCCCTGAGGAACCGGGGTCTTGCTGGAGCCGCGGGATGGGGCACCTCCACGTCCAAAGAGCAATGCTTGAAGCCACTGCATGTGATAGGGGACTCTGTCTGGTGCTGGGCCGAGCAGCGTCCCGGACCTTGTAGCTGTTCATTTATCTCTGATTTTGAGAAGGGACCAGGCCCATAATCTGCTTAAATCCAGGGAGACAAGAGGGAAGGGGCCTCTTCCTGCAGTGGTCGTGGTGAGGAGTTAAGAACCGTGTCCTGGCTGGAAATTGCTGTAAACCCTGGGGGGGGGGGCACTGCAGGAAGCCAGCGTGGGCAGCTCAGTCTGCCCGTCAAACCAGCCCCCCTCGTGCTTCAGGTGTGGCTCCTGGTGGGCATTTGCAGTGTCTGGGACGCGCTGGGTCCTGCTGGAGGTATTTAGCGAGTGTGTTTGGCAGCTCGAGTCACGCTTTCCCCTTCCTTCTCCTGTCCCTGTGTGAAGTGCACGTTTCATGCCTTCTCCCTGCGGAGCTGATCTCATGGATGGCGCCTCAGAGACCTGGGCCTGGCTGGGAGATAAGGATGTTGTTCTTAAAGAGATCCTGCGCCTGCTGCAGCTTTCAGTTCATAAACCAAATTCCTCTTACGAGCAGCAGCACAGCCAGAGCGCTGGGGCGGGGGGCTCCTGGGGGGTGGGGCCTCCACCCAGTGCCTACCTGCCTTGGTTCATAGCTGGAGCCAGAGTCTGAGAGCGACTGGAGGGCAGGCCTGTGCCTCTTCCTGTCCCCAGGGAAAGGCCTGCTGGAAAGCAGGCCCCAAGCACATGCGTGGGCAGGGGGCTGCTGAGGGGGGTTGTACCAGCAGGCCCAGAGTGGCTCACTCTGGCCTCTGCCTCGCCCTGGTTACCTCCTTTCTTGGTGATAGCATCAGCCCATCCTTCTGGAAGTCCCCGTAGGACCTGTACAGCAAGAGCGGTGACCGTTGCTAAACGCCCGGCTGTCTCTGGGCAGAACTGTTTCTGACCAGACAGGAAACCCCGTCAGCTTGGGGTAGCTGAGGAACCTCGAACACTCAGCATGGTTTACACCCAGCAAACACGGGGAGGGACCAAGGGCCGGGCGTGTGGAACGTGCTGCAAGGGTCAACATTGTTTTCAGAAGACGGAATCAAAATACTTGCCGCCCAGGTGGTGGCCAAGTGCGTAGGGTCAAGAGCGCTGTCAAGAGCAGGCCTGGCTGCACACTGTGGCCCCTTGTTACCCAAACTCCTGGGAATTTCAGAACACTGACAGCAGAGCACTAACCCACGTGTGGCAGCCATGGCCCCCCCACAGGTGGACCGTGTAGCCAGCGACCGACCCTGGGCATTCTGTGTGGACGTCAGATGTGGTGAAGACTCTGGGAGCTGGGCATGGTGGCCACACACTTGTCGTCCCAGCAACTCAGGAGGCTGAGGCAGGGATTTCAAGTTCAAGTCCAGTCTCGGCAACTTAGTAAGGCCTTGTCTCAGAAAATGAAGAGGGCAGCCGAGTGTGGGGGTGACGCCTGTATTCCCAGAGGCTCTGGAGCCTGAGGCAGGAGGATCGTAAGCTCAAAGCCAGCCTCAGTAACTTAGCAAAGTCCTGTCTCAAAGTAAAAATGAAAAGGGCGGGGGATGTGGCTCAATGGTTGAGTGACCCTGGGTCAATCCCTGGTACAAAACAACACAAAACAAAAACAAAAACAATAAACACCTCCCCCTGGAAAAAAAAACCCAAACCCAAACCAACCAACCAAACAGTGGTCAGAGGCAGCAGCAGAAAAGGCTGGCCTCAGAGCACCATGCACCAAGCCTTTGGCACGGGGCCTGGTCCGTGGAAGTGCTCCCCAAGCGATGGCTCCCCATAGCACGAAGACAGGTGTGGAAGGGCAGGAAGCCAGACTCCCAGCAGAGAGGCCCTGAACAGCACCTCTGCCCATACCAGGGCCACACACGCACCCAGGAAAGTCTCGTGTCCACCCTGCCTCTGGTAGTGCGCTCATCACACAGGAGCACACAGCTCCGTCCTCAGAGTCGCTGCAGAGGACGGAGCTGGGCAGCATCCGTCAGGTCAGAGAAAACAACTGCAATGCTCCTCAGAGACTCTCCACCACTCCCAGGTGCAGGTGAGGAAGCATGGTCCGAAAGACTCAGCAATGTCCCAGAATTACACGTGAATAAGTGCTGAGGGCACTGAATAGGCTCACCTCCGTTATTCCCCCAGATAGCCAAGGGCTTCTCACTTCCATTTTAAGATGAGAAAGCCAGCTCACAAGAGGCATGCTGTTTGCCCAAGGTACTGGTAAGTGGCGCAGCTGCTTCTGTGGCTGCCCATTAAACACCATGCCATCTGGTCACCAAAGCCCCAAGTGGTGGCTCTGTGAGCTGCCCCAGGACTTCCTTCGGGATCAGGCAGATGTGAATGGCCTGTCTGCTCCGGGGTACTCAGGGTGAGCTCAGGCCACAGCCGCGTCCCTCTACCCCCCCTCGCCCACCCCATCCCAGCCCCCATCGGTGACCCGTACTCTCTGCATTACTGTGACCAGACGGTCGGTGAGCAGCAGCTTCCTGCAGAGTGGAGTGGAAAGGCTGGACATGGAGGACTGCCAATGTGTCAGTGCCTCACGAAACCCAACCGGCCAACCCGGCAAATAGATTTAAGAAAATAAGCCTGCGTAGCAGTGCTGTTCACTGCTAGGGAACCAGGGGCTAGAATTCAGGCGGTCAGTCGCTCTGGGGGCTGCGGTGGGGAGGGGCACACCTTGACTTCACGGTTGGCCCTGGGTGGGCTCAGGTCCTTCCCTTTACTGCTAAGTGCCATAGTTCTTTCAGGCTCACCCCGTCCCTGTGTGCCTACCAGGCAGGATGGTAGGGGACTGGCAGAGAACCCACACCATGCCTCCAAGGTGTCAGTCCAGGCTGGGCAGGGGGTGCAGAGGCTCATGGCATTAGTTGTGTGCGTAGTTCAGATTTTTTTACAAACTGACCCAGGAGTGTCACGGGGAGATGCTGGGTGGGCCAGAGCTCTTGTTGGAACTGCGGCTGCTCAGAAGGACCAAGCGGCTGCTCTCCTTCGCCAGTGTACCTCCCTCTCTCCCATTCCTGATTTTGGATTTACATCTTTTGCAGTCGGCCTGGCCCAAGTGTTTTTCTCTTAGGGAAAGCAGAAGGCCGGTTCCCTTCTGTGATTCCTTGTGATTGGACACTTGACCAGTGGGTGGGTGCCTTGTGAGTTAGCCTCCGGCCTTCCCCTGCATGGGTGCACAGAGGACCCACGGCCAGCATGGGGCCAAGTGGCCCAGAGGGCAGGGCCTGGGGACATGCTGGCCTGTAGAGTCAGTGTGCTGTGGGGGTGCTCGGGCCCTCTCTGTGACTTTGAGCTGTGAAGTGTCTCACTCCCCTGGCATCCCGGGCACGCAGAGGGCAGGCCGAGTCCCCCAGGCCTCAGGGCTCCAGGAAGGCGGAGGTGAGTGCCCGGATCTTGGCCACAGCCCTGCAAATGCTGCCCTTGCCCTCACTTTTGTCTCATCCTCCCTCTTCCCCCTGCGCCCACCCTGACTGTTCCTTAGCATGAGTAGGGCGTAGGGGGCATGTGACATTTCCCTTCATGGTGGTGACATCAGAAAGCCATCTTCACATGACCTTTCCTTGTCATCACTCGTGGGGAGGAGAGAGTTGGAGGGCAGCCCTTCCTGTTCCCGCATCAGGGAAGCGGTCCCTGGCACCGTCACAGCCGCTCCCGCGTGCCCGGACCCCTCCCTGCCCTAGCCTTCCCTCTGAAGCCCCTCATCTGTCCTCTCTCTTCCAACTGAGTGAAGCTTGCTGGTCTGGCTTCATCCTGCCGGGATGGCTTTCACACGTTGTCGGATGATCCACTGACCCAGTGGTCAGGTGCGGGCAGCGTCAGCAGGTGGCCTTTCAGGATGGACGTGTTGGTGCTGTGGAGCTCCCTCCCTCCCCGGCCCCCCGTTGGTCCTCCCTGGGCTCCCCCACTCCTTCCCTCCTGCCTCGACCGACCGCTAGCCTTCTTTCCTGCCCCCTCTCCTCCCCCCGCGCCTCTCCTCCTAGGGTCTGATGGTTTCCCCCACTCAGGCTTTGAGGCCCCTCATGATGAGGAACGGGGTGGGGGGGCAATGAGCCCCACCCGTCCCAGGACAGCACAAGCCCATGAGGCCACTCGTGACTACGTCCCCTACAATTCCCAGAGTGGGCTCCTTCTCCTGACCAGCCTCTCTGGAGGAGGCCACGTCTAGTGAGCCATCCTGTCCTTGTCTCCTGGCGGACAGGGGACGTGGGGCCTGGGCTCCTGTCAGCGAATGGAACCATTAGCATTGGGGCTTGGGCCGTTCCCTCTGGACAGTTCTCCCCAGCTCTGTGGGGGGCCTCCGTCTGTGCCACCTGTCCTCTGTGCCCGAGTCTTTTCTGAGGATCACATGGGGTCCTGGGGCAGGCCTGGTGCTGGGCAGCTCATCCCAGCGGTGACTGTGGACACGCTCAGCCTTCACAGGCTCAGGGAAGGAGGACTGCGAGTGTCCTGCCTGACTGGGGCTTGAGGTCAGCTCGTGGCCCAGCCAGTAAGCGAGGCTCCAGATCCTGGAGGGGAAGGACAGGGTGGGCTGGTGGAGGCCCGCTTTGCTCACGTCACCCCCGCGCTCTGGAGTCCCTCACTGTTTGTGCCTTCCTTCCTCAGGTCAATGTCCTGCCTGTGCTCATGATGAAGAGGGACCTGGCTCTTGCGGGCACGCTGATTGGCCTGGCCTTCCTGTTGCTGCTGCCATCTGGATGTCCTCAGCAGACGGTGGATGACGCCTGCTCTGTGCAGATTCTCGTCCCAGGCCTCAAAGGTAACAGCTGGCCGGGCGCGGTGGCGCACGCCTATAATCCCAGCAGCTCAGGAGGCTGAGGCAGGAGCATTGCAAGTTCAAAGCCAGCCCCAGCAAAAGCGAGGCACTAAGCAACTCAGTGAGACCCTGTCTCTAAATAAAAGTCAAAATAGGGCTAGGATGTGGCTCGGTGGTCCAGTGTCCCTGAGTTTAATTCCCGGTACCAAAAAAGGAAAAAAAAGGTAACAGCTGGTCCTGTGTCTGGGGCTCTGGCCCCACAGTGGCCTCCAGGTGGCTCAGGGACCCTGCAGCATCTGTCTTACAGCAGAAACCCTGAGCCTGACTCCGGTTCCAGGGACAGCCAGGCGTGGCTGCTCCTTGTTGTACCTCGGCTTCCCCCGTGTCACCCAGGATGGGTCACGGGGTGTTGGATCTTCTTCAACAGAGGAATGGTGGGACTCTGGGGTCAGCAGTCTGTGTGCAGCTCAGCCTTCCCCTGGGCTCCCCGGGTGGGGGCACCGGCTTGGACTCAGCCCGGGAGGATCTCATTGGTCTTTTGGACAAACAAGGGAGCTGGAGGCAGTTGTGAGCCAGGCGCTTTAGCAGCCAGCCTTGGTGGTGGCCTGTGCTCCTTCCCTCGGCCTTGTGGACATGGGGTGGCGCTCGGCACGAACCGTCCTGCCCAAGGTCCCACAGTGAGCTCCCACTCTGCCTCTGGATGGTTCTTCCTTTTAAAAATAAGAACTTTCTTTGTTGCTCTCTGTGACTTGCTTCCAGGTAGAGACGGCTCTGCAGGCCAGGCCTGGGGCGGGCCACGGCCTGAGGAAGGTCCTCGAGGCGCCAGCTCTCGTGCCTTCCAGTGGAATATCCACTTGGGAATGTCTCAGGCCAGAGACCCCAGAGCCGTGTGGGGGGGAGGAGCTGCGGGTGCGGCTGCCTGAGTGCCCAGTGGAGCCAGCAGAACAGGGTCAAGCAGGCACACAGGGCCACGTGAGCTGCCCTCCTAAGTGAGGGGGGCGGTGCTGGGCCCTGGCCTGGGAGGAGAGGGCGGTTACAGCCACTTCCCACAGCCCAGATCCAGTTTTGCCTCCTGCTCCTCCCTCCAAGGGCAGCCTGGGCTGTGGGCCCTGGAGCCAGCCTCTGCCTGGGCTGCTCTTTGTGTTGAGCTGTTGAGGTGGATCCTCGCAGCCTGGAGCTGCCAGACCCCTGTGAGGACGCCCGGCCAGGACAATCCCAGGCCTCTGCGCCTTGCACCAGGTCAGGCTGTGGCGGCCAGCGTGCCGTGCTGTCCTGGTGCCCTCTCTAGGGCCTTCAGGACATCACCTCTGATCCCAGGCCTGGAAGCCAGCAGCTAGGCTCTGCCCAGGGAGCCATCTTGGGGTTCTCCAATAACCAGCTGCTGCAGGGGTCCCTGAGCCACCTGGAGGCCGAGTTCTGAGAACTGGTTTTGGGCCCTGACTTTGAGGGCATGTGAATGGGTCTGTGAGTGGAAACTTCAAGTTTAAATTGGGAGACGTGACTGTGGAGGTCACTTCCCCACCATCATGTGGGACTCCAGAGTGCTGGTGGGCTCTACCGTGTCTGTTATGTCCTGCAGGACAGTGGGCATGGGCTCCAGGCTCCTTCCAGGTGGTTTTCTGTTCTGTCATGAGGAACTGTCACCTGTCTGGCTGTCCCTTCTCGTAAGTGCAGGTAGGGAAGAAGGCTGCTGGGGGAGACGGCCCACATGGGCCTCACGCACGCTGCAGGGTGACAGGCCGCCTCTCCTCCCTGGCCGGGCCTCTCCAGCCATGGGATCCCAGCCTCCCTTCCGCAGGGTCTGTGGTGAGGGTTCCTGTGCGTGGCCGTGGCAGGACTCCATGCCCCCCTGCAGGGTAGACAGTCGGCAGTTGGATCTGGACTGCAGTTCGTTCCCGCCTCCTAACACAGGGCTCCACCTGGACCAAGTCTCTGGTAACAGACAAAGGGGGCAGGTAGGAGGACACTTCAACGGTCCTGACAGTTACAGGAAGGTGCGGTGCAGCTAAGGCTGGACAGGAGAGCAGAGTGTAAAATACCGTGGTCCCTAATTTCATTTAAAACATAAAGACAAATGCCACTATTGAGGAAAGCCGGAAGGAAGCACGCTGAGCCGTCACCACGGCGTGGTTCTGAGCCTGCAAGCTCCCACATGCAGCAGCCCTGGCTCTGCACGCGCAGGAAGGCAGCATCAGTCCCGGGTCTCCCAGCTGGGATGCACTTCTCGGGGCAGTCCTGAGCCAGGCGCTTTAGAAGCTAGCCTTGGTGGTGGTCTGTGCTCCTTCCCTTGGCCTTGTGGACATGGGTGGCGCTCGGCATGGAGCGTCCTGGACAGGTGGCCAGCCAGGTCTTTCCTCTCTTCCTGGCCAGCTCACCTCCTGGGCAGAGTGGCACCTCCTCCATCACAGTTTGTCTGCACTTGAACCCAGTGTGGGGTCAGTGATGAGCTGGCAAAGCTGTAAGGCCCCGTGCTGCCCGTGGGGTCGGCAAACCCGTCCCTCTGCAGCGTGTCGACCTACTGAGCGCCACAGTGGGCGGGTAGGTTCTGAGCAGGGTCCTACCAGTGCTCAGACCCGGGTCCTGCCCTGCGGGGCTGCTCATCGGGCAGGTGGAGAGACTCGCTCCTGGGTGGCCAAGCGTGTGGAATGGGCAAGCCGCGTGCGCTGGAGCCCACCCTCTGCATCCTGGGTGTAAACCCCCGCTTCCTGAGACCAACCCTGTCATCTGTCAAGGCCAAGGGGATGTCCACTGCAGGAATGTTGTGACACAGCTACTCAGGCCCTTGGAAACCTGACCCTCTGACAGTGGACGTGGCCAGGAGTGCTCTGTGATACTGGGTGTGCTGGCTAAAGCAGGATCAAAGACTTCCATGGTTGTGGTGTTTCAATGGGGCGGCAGGGAGGGTGTAGAGAAGGGAGGAGGAAGCAAGTTCCGGCTCTCCAAGCCATAAAAGCTCAGGGTTCATGTAAGTTTTTGTGAACCATGAGCAGACAGACTGGCGTCAGGAGAGAAGGCCCTGGCCTTGAGACAGCACCCTCCTGGTCCTCACACACAGGGGCCAGGGGCGGGGGGTTACCCCTCTAGCCCCGGACGGCCCACGATATGCTCAGCACACGTCAGCAAGTGGACGAATGCCACTCTTTTCTGGGTGTCTTACCTGGACCAGGACTCGCAGGCCCTGTGGAGAGTGATGCTCACACACACAGCGCCAGGAGAGGAGGGAGAAGTGGCCTCCAGCCCCAGCCCCTCCCTGCTGAGCCCTGTGCTGTGTGGGTTTCCTGTTCCTGGACCAGGAAACAGGGATGCAGTGACCAGAGGGCCCAGCCCCTGCTGCCCGGCTTCTAGATGGTAGCTTGCAACTGTCAAAGGAGGTGAGCGGTCTCCCTGCATCACGTGTCCCGTGAAGATCAGCAAGTCAGAGGGGAGCACGGGGAGGAACGATGAGTCAGAAATCATGGTGGTCCATGAAGGGGGACTATTTAAACACAGTACAGCTCTTGCTTTTAAGAGGAAATAGGAACACGGTGGCCGCTGGTTCATGAGACGGAATTCACTGAGAATCTTGCAGGGCTAGGCTCAGGGCTGGAGAGAAGAGCAGGGCCTCTCTGTGGAGGAAGGGGCCTGTCTGTGAGAGTCGGCACATGCCCTCCTTGCCTTGGGCTCCCAGGACTTTGCAGGTCCACCTGTGGTTGTCGAATCTTCTCAGCACATACACCAGGCGGCCCCCTGACTGTGTTCAACAAAATGCATCTGTTGATAGTCCACTGTGTCTGCATTTAGAGAGAGACGGACTTTCCTTAATGGTTAAAGACCTTGGCTATAGGTGGGGAAACGTGTATTTAAAATTTTTTATTTTAAAACTTATTAACATTGGTGCATAATAATCATACCTAACAGTGAGGTTTTTGTTACGTATGGGAAAATGTGGATATGTATCAGGGAGACTGCTGCTCAGAAGTGACGAAGGGCCGGGTTGTTCTTACAGGTTTTATCAGATTAATTAAAAATTCATTGACAGTAATCTCTCAAAACTAGGGCAGCCAAGCTAGCAGGTTCCTGCCGGACTCTTGCTTTGCTGGCCCAGGCAGTGGCTCTGAGGCCATGCCTCTCCTGCTCGTGACCCTTGCAGACGGGCTGGTTCAGGGTCAGGAGCCATGTATCGACCAGGAACGTCCCGGCCCCCCTCAGCTGGCAGCAACTATGTATCTAAGTATCTCATGTTGTGGATCTTTCTAGTGCAAAAAAGGCCCCAAGTGCAAGGTGGGCAAACCTTCGCAGGACGTGCAGGAGGTGAGGGTGGGTGAAGCCCTGCCCCCTTTTTCCGTCTCTCCGAGAGGAGACACATCAGTGGTGGAGCAGGGAGTTGAAACTCTGACCCCCCCGGCAGAGATGAGCCTCGTCCTTAGAGCTCTGCCTGGTAACTTGGTCCCCCTACGTGGTGTCTAAGAGGACCCGTATCTTTACGAAATGCTATACCACATTCCCGCGTGAAAGAGGAGATGTTGAGACCCTGGAGCACTTCGGAGGGTGAGAGCCGCTTGATCTTGTTCAGTGTGGCTCTCAATTGCACGCCACCCTGGGCTCTTTTGTTCTATTTCTGGCTGTCCGTGCGGCAGGTCGCTGCTGGGTGGAAACTCAGTGCTAGCCCAGGTCCTGTCACCGTCCTTTACGGGGTGGTATTTTGAAACAGTGCTGCGGCTGTTCAGATGCATCTGTGGGCATTTATGGCACGACTGTGGGTCAGACGTAAACCCATCCACTCGTCCATCGCCTGGGCACCGGGTCCCTGAGTCCGGTGTCCCTTCAGCCTGCAGCACTGTCCTTAGGAGTTTAGGGAGGTGAGGGCAGCTCACCACATTGTGGTTTTGCTCTCTAATTAGTGGTAGGCTGATGGTGGAGATGAGCCAAGGGCCCTGGGGGAGCCTGTCGCACACGGCACAGCGCCCTGCTCGTCCCTCCAGCTGGGGGCCTCTGTGGGGCCTGCTTCTGGGCCGGGAGTCCCACTGTGGTGGGCGTGCTGCATGAGCTCTGCTTGGACATCTCGGCTGAGCGCAGGCCTGGGAGCAGATGGCTGGGTCTACGTGCCATGTGCCCAGCTCTGAGAGGCTGCAGAGCCACCCACTGCGTCTCCCTGACTCTGGGTCAAGCCGCAGTGTGTGAGGGAAGCCTAGCAGTCCTGACACGGTGCTGTCCACTTATTTGTGTATTTATTTCTATGTGGTGCTGAGGCTCAAACCCAGTGCCTCACACATGCTAGGCAAGCGCTCTGCCTCCGAGGCCCAGCCCCAGCCCAGCGCCACTCATTTTTAAGGTGTTTCTTACCTGTTGGTTGGAAACTATAGTCTGTGTATTTTCTGTTTAATTTTAAAACATCAACGTCTTTTTTTTTTTAATCTTCTCTTTTTGGAGCTGGGGATTGAACCCAGGGCTCTGTGGTGGGAGTCAGGAGCTTTGCCACCAGCTACATTCTAACCCCATCAGAGTCTTTTTGTCGGTAGTTTTTAACACCGACCATTTTTTAAAATAGTCAATTTTGCTGGCAATAAAAAGAAGAAAGATACTGTAACTGTCACATTTCTCTTTGGAGGTGTAGATGAAAAGACATCTGCCCATCAGAAATAAGTGCCTACAGGTGACATAAGTGACCCAGTTGTCCTCAGAGGGGTGTCGAGGCTGGCAGCACGTGGGCCGGGCAGCGAGGAGCTGGTCTAGAGTCGTGCACCGCTCTGTGCTTGCCCGTGGCTGGCTCCAAGCTGCAGCGGTGGAAATGCCATGTGAGCCGGGTCCACGCTAGAGCAGGGGCTTCCTGGTCAGCCAGGAGATGCGTGGTACACGGTCACGGAGCTTTCAGCCCAGCGGAGAGCAGGGGCAAGGCTGTGGCACAGGCCATGCAAGCGCCCACCCTCGTCCAGTCTGATCGTCTCTGCTGGACTTCTGCAATGGTGCACTGCCCTGCTGTGTGGGTGACCATGCTGTCCCAGTCCTTGTGTGTACGTCTCAGGGCTGGCCACTGCTCCAGCCTCTCCCTCCAGCCTCCTGGCTCACCTGACCAGCTGCAGTGCCCTGTCCCTCTCCTCAGAATGCCTCTCTTGCTCTGCCTGGCCACGTCCAGCTTGTTCAGCAGCTTCACCTTAAAGCCACTCTCTCAGAGAGGCGGCCGGTGTCCTGGCCCACACATGTCCCTGTGTTGATGCTGTTTCCTGGGTTGCTAGCGAGCGCTCCTGTCAGTCTGCTTCTCACTCGCACGCACACAGGCCTGAAATGCTTTCCTCCTGGGTAGCTTACAGACGTCGGGTAGTGACAGACGTTCTGCCTGTCACTCTGCCATGTCTGGGTGACGTTCCCCGTGCGGGTCTCAGGGGGCCTTTTCCTCATGTTCCATCATGTCCTTCCTTAATGTTGGAAGTCGCAGTCACTAGGCCTTCAAATGTCCACTGGCTCCTTCTGTCCTCCTGTAAGGTGGACATTAGCATTTATTAGATTTTCCCTCAATTCTCAACTTGGCTCAAAAGAACACCAGCGAAGCTTCCCGGTGGCTTATCTCAGTGTTGCTCAGTAGAGTCCTTCGTGTGCTCTCTGCCTCGTGGCCAGGTCCTCGTCACTGGCCCTCAGCCTGCCTTGGGGGGTTCTTCTCCAAGGGCGCTCCCTGCGCAGGACTCGGGTGCTCCCTTCCCTACTGACTCCTGTGGTGGGACACTGCTCCTCTGCTGTCTTTGCCCCGCGCTGGGCACTGGCACACGGGGGAGTCTGTCGCCCACTGCGCCCTTGCTGGCTGGTCCTCCTCCGGCGCCGGGCAGATCTCCACGCTGTGCGCACCCTGCTGGTTGACATCTCTTGTTGTTGGGTTGTCAACGTTTCTCTGAGAACTGCTGCTGGTGCATTTCTTTCTTTTTAAAAAGGTAAGAGAGAATTTGAGAATTACCCAGAGACTGAGGGCCGTGCATGAATGGGGCCAGGTGCCAAACCTACAGTAGGCGAGGGGCTTTCAGCAGGTAGCCAGTGCCTGTTGCTGTAGGCCAGGGCGACCTTGGGAGGTCTCAGGTCTGTCTCTCCTTCTTGATGTCTCTCACTTTGCTTTTCTTCTTGTTTAATTAAATTTAAAATGAATGTCCCCTCGGTTAGGCCAGATGGTCAGTTTTGGGGATTTCATTGGGGTGTTGATAATCTCGGTTAAGCCTCCCACCAAGTCAAAGTGTGTGTGGAGAATCACAGACGATTAGTGTACTTGAATGGTGGCTTGCACTGTGCAGAAGTATGCACACACACATGCACACTCTCTCTCTGTTCCTAGCAGCACTGGTGGAACAGGTAAGGAGGTGAGGTCACAAAAAAAGCTGTACATTTGCAACAGGGTCTCAGCACCCTGGGAGAGAGAGAGGTCAGGCTAACAGGTCAGAGAAGCCGCTGGAGGGCCAGGTGAGAGGTGGAGCCTGGTGTGTTGATGAGCCAGAGGTAGGGAAGAAGTCTGAGGTCTGGACATGGTTGGTGACGAAAGTCAGCTCTGTGTGCCTTTTGAGAAGGGAAAGATGTAATATGGTTTTTGTCTTAGGCAGATATCTTGGTAAGGGTTAGATTGGGAGGGGAGTGCTGGGGAGGAGGTGTTAGAGTCCCTGTCTTCGGTGGCCCCAGCCCCTCTGTGCACCTCTCTGTCCCTGTCTGGCAGGCGTCTCCTCTAGTTGCTCACATCTGTCTCCTTACTGGTGTCTGAACCCTGGAATGGGGTGGCCGTGCCCCCTGGCCCAGGTGTCCACCCCACTCAGCAGTGTGTGTTACATGGGGCTTGTGCTCAGGGAGAAGAGGTGATGTCCAGCACATCCCATGGCCCAGTGGCTTCCCGGGGGCCCTGTGGGGCAGTGAGTGGCTTCCTCTCTTCTCCTTAGTGTTAGGATGGGCCCCCGAGGATGAACTGGGAGTCAGCTCAGAGGGAATGTCTGAGGGGCATCGAAGGGTGGACAGAGTCATCCCTGAGGGGGATGGTAGGGCAAGGCCTAGAGCCTCGGGGACAGATGGGGGCACTGAGACTTGGGGAGGGTGGGCGGGGTGGAGAGGGGCACAGCAGGTGCACACGTCCACACAGCACATGGGGTCCCGGCCAGATCAGTTGCTAAACAGATGTGACTTCTTCCACAGGGGACGTGGGAGAGAAGGGAGACAAAGGCGCCCCGGGAAGGCCTGGAAGAGTCGGCCCTACGGGAGAAAAAGGTACCTGCAGTCCCCGGCCCTGTTGGGAGGAGGGAGGTGGATGAGGAAGAGGAGGGAGACCTCATGCCGCAGACTGCTGGGGAGCAGCGAGGGAGGCCCTCTGCAAATAGTGCAGCTGACCAGCGGGCCAGGAGGTAGAGCGTCCTGGACAGTGAGCTGGCCCTGGCCTCCCTGAGCCGTTCCCATCCAACAGGTGAGGGTGCTCCAGATCCTGTGTGAGCTCTAGGGAGGAGGCGGGGCAGACCTGGGGCTTCAAACGGTGCCTCTGGAGTCGGCTCCCCTGGTACGATGGCAGAACTCTGCTTGCCTCGTGGGAGTGAGCTGAGGCCAGGTCACGCGAGAGGGAACGATCCTGCGAGTGGAGGAGCTAGAACAACGGTGTGGCAGAGCTGGATGGCCGTGCAGAGGGGCTGGGTGTGCGTGTGAAGGCACATGCGAGCAGGAAGCGGGAATGCATTGCGGGATCGCGGTCGGCTCTGATTTGGCTCTTTTCTCCTGACGAGTGCCTTGGGGACCGTTCTGCGTCTGGGTGCACGGGGCTCCTCAGCCAGGCAGTGAGGTGTGCGTGGATTTGTTTGATCTCTGTGGGCTCCCAAGTTCCTGGATCTGCTGCTGGAGAACCCCGAGTGGGTTTCACTGAATGTGTTGAGGTAGCACGAGGACAAATCCTCGCCGTGCACCTGTGGCATCAGAGGTGCGCTGGGGGTTCTGGTAGATGTGCTGAACCGCCCCCCAAGACAGCGCACTTCCTGCCACAGGGGCCCACGCGTGGCGTTCCCTGCCCTCCCACCCTGCGGAGCTGGGGCTGACTTGCCGATGCCGCCTCACCGCCTCACCGCCTCTCCGTGAAGGAGGCAGGGCGTTTCCTCGTGTTTAACAGTCATGTGTGTTTCTTTTCTCTTTCTGCTTTTCTCCCTCTTGTTTTTAAAACCCTATTGCATCCTCTCGAGACTTCTTTATGTGAGAGGCAGTGCTCATACTTTCTGTATGTATCTAGAATACTTCCTTGAATACTTGCTGGAAGCGAAGTTCCGAACTTCAGAGAAGGCCGGCCACGCGGGCATGTCACGCCGTCCTGGCCTTCCCCTCCCCAGGAGCCACCCGACCCCTCCATGCGTGCTCAGCCGGTGTGCTGACAGGTGCGGACGGGACGGCTGCTGGAGGGTGACTCGCCTGCTCCCTGAAGCTCTGGGGTGGTCAGGAGTCAGGAGTGTCTTGGAAACACCAAGCGCTTCTTATTTTCACTTTACTAGGTATTTCTTCTCTTTTTCTGTGATGCTGGGGACTGAATTCCAGGGCCTGTGCAGGCTGGGTGCGTGCTGCTCCCCTGAGCCACGTCCCCAGCCCCCACTTCTGTCTTTGATGTGGTTTTGGGGGGCTGGGGCCGTGTCTGTGTTTCCTATTCGTGTGCTGCAGGTAAGTTGTGCAGCTTACTTTTTTAATGACCTGGTCATGAACTGGGCACAGCTAATGGCTGCTCCTCAGTTTCTGGGGTGGATGAAGTCTTGTCCCCGCTCTAGATGGTGGCAGTCGGTGATGTGCTGTCATTTCCCTGTCACTCTCTCAGTCCTGCTCATCCAGCTCAGTGCTGCCTGGTGGGCGGGGCCTCCACTGCACGCAGACGTGGCTTGTCCATGCTGTCCCTGCCTCCATGGTCATCACAGCAGGTGCCTTGTGTGCTCTTTGTCTCATTCTTACCCTCGTCCTCACTGGTCAGCGAGCGTCTTCTACCTTCTGAGCTCCCAGGAGCGTTGCTGGGCACAGGGGGCCTGTTCCTCTCATCTGACTCCCACATTTCCTGAGTGCTGGGTGCTGAGTGGGGTGGGGGTGACCAAGCTGTGAAAGGCTCAGTCCTTGCCCTGGCGTGTGGCCAGGGAGGCACCGTGCAGGCCCAGCTAGTAAACCAAGGCGGAAAGCCGTGGCACGTGGAGCTGGGTTTGGGCTGGATTAAAGAATGGCCTTGTTTCAAAGTTTACTGATCTATCATCGTAAGCAGCTCGTGACCTAGAGTGTGGGAAACCGCACAGCCCTGCCATCGGGGACCACGGCTCCCTCCAAGTCCCCTCTCTGTGCTTCTCTCGTTCCACCCTGCCTCCCTCTGGAGTAGTGCATCCTGCTCTCACATGAGTACAGCATAAGGGTGTCACGGGCAGCACAGCCGCTCCAATGGCTGCCTCGTGTCCCGGGTAACTAGTTCCACCTGGCTGCAAGTCGCTGTCAGGACCCTTTGGGTAGTGGAGCAGGGAGAGGAGCCGGGGTGGGCTCCTTAAGGTCAGGGTGGGCAGTGGCATACTTCACACGTGGCCTCCAGTCTGAGCACAGCCGGGCACTGGGCAGTGATCTCAGGTTTTGTCAGGGACCTGTCACCACAAGAGCCAGCAGCTCTGCTGTGGAGATCACACCCTTTGCAGCACATAGAGCAGGTCAATGCAAGGGGATTCATGTGGGTCATTGACAGCAGGAATAATTGTGGGGACTCAGGAGATGCCCCTTTGACAGTGACATTTAAGAAGGACTGGTCTGGCCTGATGTGCTCTAGTGAGTTGGAAAGGAGCAAAAGCCGACACGGAACTGCCTAACAAACTTTAGAAGGCATAGAGGACGCTAGAAACCAATGAACCAGAATATTAGTAGATAACTTTGAGTTTTAGGATTATGGACATTAACATTTTCTTCTTCACATTTTCCATATTTCCAACAATGTTTATGTTCTGCAGTTGTGGAATTATTTTTATTATTAATTTTTGTAGTACTGGGATAGAATCCAGGGCTTCACACCTGCTTAGGCAAGTGCTCTACTGTTGAGCTTTAGCCTGTGACCATCTTTTTTATTTTTTGCAGTACCGGGGACTGATCGCAGAGGCACTCTACCACTATAGAGCTATATTCCCTGTACGGTTTACTATTTGTTTTGACAGGGGCCCGCTAAGTCATGGAGTCTGGCTTCAAACTTGTGACCCTGCTCCTCAGCCTTCTAAGTAGCTGGGCCACCAGGTGTGCACACCATGCCCCCCCATGTACGTGTATTTAAAAGGTAGCTGGACAGGCCCCCTGAATGTTGATGATCAGGCTCACCTGGAGGGCCAGGTGCTGGGCTGGAACCTTCTCGTCTTCCCAAGACATCATTCGCTTGCTCCTCTGCCCCACACTCTGCTTGCTCATGGCCACATGCTGCACCTTGGATCGTCCATGCCCAGAGCAAACTGAAATCTGTGAGTGGCAGAAGCACTTCAGCCCAGCACCAAAGCCTGAGGTGAGCCACGCTCAGAGAGGCTGGGTTGCTGGTTGCTTCTGTTTTTCTCCCTCTGTGGGTGGAAACATGACCTCAGGGATTACAGGAGGGGTCATAGATCCAGCCCTGCATCACTCGGAGAACTAGTCCAGAGAGATGAGGCTGCAGGGGCAGCTGCTGGATCACGCAGAGCACGGCAGAGCACGGCAGAGCACGGCAGAGCACGGAGCTCAGATCCCTGCTCCTGGAAGCACACCAGTCCTTGTCTCTGCAGTAACTAGCCTCCCCCTCGGGCAGGTGGAGAGCCTGGTCTCCCCATCAGACAGATTGCTTTAGCATTAGGTAGCTTTTTGTGTTTCCGTGTGAATTTTAGGGTTGCTTTTTCTCTTTCTGTGAAACATGTCATTGGAATTTTGATAGGGGTGCCCTGAATCTGAAGATTGCTTGGGGCAGTTTGGACACTTTGAGAATATAAATTCTTCCAATTCATGAACACAGGATTCCTTTCGTTCATTTGTGTTCTCTTCCTTTCATCAGAGTTTCATGGTTCTCGGTTTTCAGTATCCAGATCTGTCACTTCCTTCGTTGAATTCATTCCTAAGTTCCTCCTTCCTCTCGTTGCTACTGAAATGACATTGCTTCCTGAGTTTGCTTTTTGGATAGTTTGTCATTAGCTTATAGAAATAATGACTTTCATATTTTGACTTTTTATCTTTCAACTTTACTGAATTTGTTTATTGGAGTGCCTTTTGGGTGGGGTCTTAGGGTTTTCTACCTACGAGACCATGCCATCTGCAAACGGAGCCAACTTTACTTATTTCCAATTTGGAAGCTTCTAATTTTCTTTTTCTTCCTAATTGCTCTGGCCAGGACCTAGAGTGCTTATGTTGAATAGATGTGGCAACCAAAGACACCCTTGTCTTGTTCTTGATCTTAGAGAAAAACCTTCAGCTTTTCATCCTTGAGTTTGGTATTAACTGTGGCCAGATTCCTGGACTGTTTGTTTGTTTTTTTAATTTTTGCTGTATAAAATTTTACCAGTTTTGCCTTTGGCCATCCTGAGTTTTCTGTGAGCCATTATTCGCACCAGTTCCGTTTCCCAGTTAAAATGTTCAGTTTCTCATTGGCAGAAAGAGGATTCTTCCTTCAGTCTTTCGTCACTGACAAATGTCTCCCTGTAGTTGTGGCCAATGTCATTTTTTTTTCTTGATGGCTACTTATACTGGTGATGCTCCTTTTGAAATGGTTGGGGGACTAGTGACCATGAGTTTTGCTAGTTTGGGAGAACATGTGAGGGTCCTTCGGATGTTTCCAGAGTGTCGTTTTCCCCACCGCTCTCCAGGCTCCGCTGCGCCCCTGGTGCTCTGGCCTCTGGGCCTGGCTCGGTAGCTCCAGGGCTGCTCTCTGGAGGGCTTGGTTATGAGGAGGGGGCCAGTGGAGCGCCTGCTGAGCTCTCCAGTGCACGGCAGGGGCGTCCTCGAGACCAACAGGGAGGGCCAGAGCTGGCTCCCGGCTGGAGGACAGCTCTAGCCTTTGCAGGCTCATGGCCTGGGACCTGGGATGGAGACCAGGGGTTTTTAGAGGCTCCACGAGGGGTTGAAGCTGCCTCCCCCTAGGAACCTGTGCTGGACTCCTGCTTCACCTCGGATCCCTTTGGGCCATAAGTGCAGGTCCTGGGCCACCAGGCAGTGGACTCTCCCAGCTCTGTCTAGATGCAGTTTCCGAGTGGACACAGCAACAAGCACCGGCTCCTCGTGGTGGCCCCGAG